GGAAAGGGTGAGGAACTGGGAGGAGTAGAGAGAGCTAGAGAGATGGCACAGTGCTTAAGGGTGCTAGCTGCCTTATCAGAGAACCTGGGTTTGATTCCTCAGCACCCACGTGGAGTACTGCATTCAAATGGTGCCCAAACCTTATACACAAATAAATCACCCTTACGTATGCAAACAAAATGTGAAAATAAATAAATAAAAAATGCAACTATAACAATGTTCTTTACTAAAGTTATGTGAAATGGGCTCATCCTCTTGAAATTATCTGGGAGCAGTTTCCAGTTGGGCGATTAAAACTTCTCAAGGGGACTACTGGGATGGATTCTCTTCTCTGTTTCTCTTAGCAATCTCATTGCGAAGAAGTTTTTAATCTCTGTGAATGTGTTCAGAACTGTTAACTCTGTGAATGGGCTTCTACCTGAGGGATATGCACCCCATGTGTCACCATCCTCCCACCCAGGGCTGCAGAGGAGTGATGTCATGTTGGTGCCTAGCATGTCTTCCTTTTGAAAGGCAACAGCCCCAATCCTCTTTTGCTGCATCCATTGTAGGGACCATGTTTGGTGTCTTCCTCACTTACTTTCATTCTCATCCATTGTAGAGCAAAACTGGCTTCCTGTTGTGATGCAGTTCAGTACTTCAGTGGTTTCCCAGAACAATACGCCGGTGGGGACTAACTTGAGCTATGAGGCAGAAAGCAAGAAGCAAATTCCTATTCGAGAGAACATTTTCCACATGTTCCCAGTGGTAAGTAAGGGGGTGGTTTGAGGTTATGACCTGCAGGAATGAGTGAGTAATTTTAAGGCTACCATATTGTTATGGCATATGGGACATGTATATTGGCAGGCCAATCCAAGAATCTAGTTCTTTTATTTTTATGTTTTATCTCCTTGAGATTGAACCCAGAACCTTGCCCATACGTGGCAAGGACTCTACTACTGGCTACACCCCCAGTCCCTGTGAAAGCAATTCTGAATGCAGTGTGGCTCCCTAAGTACAGACTTTATATCATAAATGATAAGTTCTCAGCTTTCCACTCTCCCTGACACTTCAGTCAATGAGCTGAGACATGGCATTTCAGATCTGTATTGACTGCGGTATGGAAAGGTGACTACCACGTTTTGCCTAGGATCAGATTCTTCATTTTGTCCCTTTTTGATGACTAAGCCCATCCCTTGTAAAAACCAAAAAAAAAAAAAAAAAAAAAAAAAAGGCCCTATGTGACTTACTTTTGTGATGTCACTATTTAAGAATTCATGAACAATTCATATAACATCTACAAAACAGTCTATTGTCTACTGTGTTCACTGCTGTATCCCAAGCTCCTAGAACATTTCCTAGTGCATAAATACACTCAGCACATGTCTGTAAATAAACATGAGTAAATGATACATACTCTGCTGCTTAGCACAGTGAGAAAATGTAATTTTCATGTAATTCAAGTATAAAATTGAGGGAGAGTTTGTCTTGAAAGCATAAAAAAGCATCTTTTTATGATGTTTAAAAGCAATTAGGTCAAATTGACATGATCAGATGAGATTACTCTATCTATGCAGCTTGCTATCTGTAGATATGGTTTCATAATTAATTCACCCTTTGTTAGATGTTTGACTTCTAGAAACTAGTTTATTGTGGCTCATGTGAGTTATATCAATATTTTTGTGTCACAGTTCAGAGAAAGAATAGTTTTTTGATAGTAAATGAGAGATAACTAAGAAATGATACAAAAAATACTTCAAATTTTCTAGACTAAAAGGACAGAAAAGCTTCTCATAAAAATGGAGAAATTTTTATAAACAAAGGAATGCAGTTTGTTGTAAATAAGTGTTCCTCAAGAAAGTTTAAGGAATAAAAGGTAGTTCATGTGTGTGATTCTTATGGGAGGGAGGAGGCAGGTTGATCCTGAGTTTGAGGTCAGCCTGGGTACATAATGAGACTATCTTCAAATACCAAGGAGTGGAGGCCTATAGCTTAGAGGCCAAATGCAAAGTTCTGAGTTTCATTCCCAACTACAAAATAAAAAAAATAAATTAAATTAAAAAACAACAACAACAACAACAAAAAACATCCAAAGCAAAAGCAAGTAAGTGAAACCATGACTAGTAATGAAGTATTTCTATGCTGTAGGAAGCTAGGGCAATGCGTGGTAAGCAGTCTCTCTCCATCTAGGTACATTTTTCAGATGTTTCCCTTGTTTTCTGCTGTCCAGCTCAGAGATACTACTTACATATGTCTCTAACACAGCATCCTGATAAGAAAATGACAAAGTTGGTAATTCTGTATATTAACAACTGTACCCATTTCCCACTATCCTGATTTTTTTTGTTTGTTTGCCTTTAGTTGGCAAACAAGAAATTCTACTGAGTGACCCTGAGTAAAATAATGTCACCTTGTGTTGTTTCCTCTTTCCCCTCCCATGGCTGGGGATAAGATTGAAGCTGACCTCTTTTCTGCCCTCCTTCCCATGGTCCACACGGTCTCCCCCTGCTCCTCTGTGCCCACAGACCCTAGGACCACCAGCCTCAGAGCAGCTTGCCATAAAACTGTTCCCCCATTAAAAAATAGTGTGAAGCAATGCCTCCAAATACTGGTTTACTTCAGGGGGTCATTGAGGGTTTGTAATTTATTTTGGCTCCCTACTGAACACCAGCTCCCGCAAACAATACGGCCATTTCTTCCCCACTGACCAAGAAACAGTCATTATTTTGAGGGTCTAATCTGAGATGCGTTTCCTTAGTAATCTTTTGTATTGTGTGCCATAAAGAGCATATTTGCATTATTGCATTTCACCCTGTCTATAAAATGCAGAATTTACTGAGAAGTCATCGAGTAAAAACTCTGTAGCCATCCTTAGCTTGAATTTCAAAGATGAGAAAGAGATTTCACTATCTGGGAAGTATTTATATTAAAGCCAGACACAGCGCTGGGTCTTCTGAATAGAGAGGAATGCATCATGAACATATTAATTCAGTGGCTAGAAAGAAACTGTGGGCTGAGCAGTGCTTGGAGCAGCCTGCCTGGGTCATAGCCCAGTTTTGCCTGTCCAGAGCTGTTACTTCAGCTTGCTCCTCTACTTTCCCATGTGTTTCTCGCTTTCACAGCAAATGCTCCTACTTAAGACATCATCTCTCTGGACCCCATGCTTCCTTTTTACTCCCACCAATGTCTGTTTCTGATTCTTTTTCTCTACTCTCTTTTTTCTTCTCCTCAAGGCACACATGGAAAGTTAAAGTTTGGGCTCCAACTGATGAGTACTTGGTTTTTTTTTTTTTGTTTTTGTTTTTTTGTTTTTTTATTTTTTCACCCCTTGGGGGCTTTGGGAATTAGATCTCTTCTACTTAGCCACATAGTAACCTTAGTTCCTAATTTTCAATCAGTTGTGTGTCATGTCTGGTTTCTCTTCTCTCCCACTAGTCCCAGCCTTTTTGTAGGCTACCCCTATAACCAGTGTGCAGTGGTTGGCAATGGGGGAATTCTGAACAAGTCTCTCTCTGTGGAGGCGGAAATTGATAAATCTGACTGCTTTTAGGTGAGTCTTGTCATAGTTGTTTCTTGGAAACCAAGGAGCCATTGACTGTTTTAAAGAGTAATAGAAACAATGTGTCAAGTTTTGCCTTTGTCTTTGTGATTGTAGCTAACATCTACAGTTTACTCAGGAAGCTTTCCTGGAAGTTACAGGGACTCCAACTGAGTTCCTCAGCTTGTGGTCACATCAGTACCATAAAGACATGCAAGAAGAAACTGGGTGAAGTTGCAGCCAAAGGTTTGGGACTGAAGGACCCCATAAGAGTCTTTGCCTGTGGATGGGTATAATGGTTCCCTTGGAAACACTACTAGGAGGAATATTTCTCTGTCCTGGAATGCATTTGTTCTTCAGTAACACTAGGAAAGATGCTGACCTAGACATTGTATAGTCATACACAGCACTGATTTCCAGTTTGAAAATAAATTCATATTGTTCATCTGCTCAATTCTGGTCTAAAGCAGTTTTGCCTGAAGGTACAAAGTAATTTATGAAAATAACCTAAAGTTAGTTTCTGTGGGTGATTCATGCTAACAATCACCAAATTGCCCAGGGGTAATTTAAGAGGGAAGCGGCAAATGTCTGCTTGTTTATGTTCTGGGAGCATCATTTTTTTTTTATATTGAGACCCTTTGGTTCCCATGGGATTTCCAACAAGTATTTGTTCTACATATTAACAGCAACCACAAATGAAGTTCAAAAAATCTCCCCCCTTCACTTTTCATCTCATGTTAGTAATTTATATTAATGACAACTACACAATCGTCAATTTGATGGCCCCGAAATTACTAAACACTCATTGTATTCTTGACAGAACAATTTTTACACTTTTCATGTTTCACATTGCCATGGCCAGTATTGGAAATGGTTAGCACTTGTTCACATTCTCAGTGTTTGTGTGGTGTGGGAGTCACAATGAAGATAAATAATGGTTCATGTAACAGGCTTTTATAGACTTAAATTCCCCAAACATCTGTGGTATTATGCAAAAAACATTAATTTTACTTTATCGGGCTACATAGAATGAACAGTTTAGCTTAAAGTCTAGAAAATGTCTCAGCAGATAGATAGTTGATTGATAACTTTAAGACAAGGCCTGGGTTTGCAGGTTCGGACTTTAGCTGACTCTAGGATTTTCTGAACCACACTCTTTTCTTGGCCATTCAAACTGAAAACATTTGGTTGCTGTCATTAAAATGTATTTAGTTTTTAAGCCTATACTTACTTTGCCTATGCCTTCTGGTCACACATATAAGTTGCACATTTGTTTTCATTTCATACATTGGTAATCTACAAATTAAGTGTATAAGGAACAAACATGGTTATAGCTATATTATATAGTATGCTATAGCTATACTGTTACATTGGAGTAATATATATATATTACACATATCCATATAAAAGGATGTCTCCCACACATATATATCCTGATGTTTTCCATGAAGTTTCTAGTTATATTAAAAACCACTTTTTTCTTCTAACTATGGAATGCTTCATGAACTTGCATGTCATCCTTTTTGCAGGGGCCATGCCTAATCTTCCTCTGTATCATTCCAATGATAGTATATGTGCTGCCAAAAAAGCACTAGAAACCACTTTTAAGCCTGGGCATGGTGGCTCATTGCATGTAGTCTCCAACAGTTGGGAGACTGAGTCAGAAGGATCTTTGAGAGTTTAAGGCTAACTTGGGGATGAGTTAGAGTCAGCCTCGCGCTACCAAGTAATACCCCGTCTCAAACAATAGCAAAACCACCTTTGGGATTCTTCAAAAGAATGTGTGTCGATGACTTGTTACAGGAGGCTACTGTTAAGGTCATTCTGTGGCCTCCCTATCTAATAATGAATACATATTTTCGATGTATATTTTATATCAAAGTGAGAAGTATATTTTATTTATTATTGTGTTTCATAGGGCATGGAGCAGAGTCCTGCAGCCCCATCCACATCACAGATGAGTGTGAGCTGTACACTCAATGCTCCCCTACGCATGCCCTCCTTTGAGAGGATGGTCCAACTGAAATTTCAAAAGTATATTCCCCTCTCTTTTAGATTGGAACATATCAAAATTAGTATCTTTCATGGTTTTCTAATGAAACATTCGTACTCCAGGTTTAGGACAGCAGGACAAAATTGCTTCAAATTTCCTTCATTAGGTAACCTAATTTGATGACAAAGTTATCCATAGAGATATCAGAAGATACTAGTGTTCCTATGTAGGTTTTATTTCTGGGAGGCTTTATCACTGTTTTTATAGTGCCTCCAGTTCTGTATGTCTATAGTGTTCATTCCACTGTAAGAATATCAATATGGTTAATCTAAATCACATTTTTAATAAACAAAAGCCTTGAAAATCCTTCAGAAACATGGCAAGGGAATGATTTGTACAGTTCTGGTTTTGATACCCACAAATGTCAACAAAAATGTTAGAAATCACTTAATGAGATTTTTGTACAATTGTTGAAGCATCATTTTAGAGCCTTTACCTCTTGGATATTTTCAAGTGCAAAATGAGAGCGGATCTGAAGCCCTAACCTGGTTGCCCCTGCAGATGACAACAGTTGTCGTATCTGTGTGTGTGTGTGTGTCTGTGTGTACATCTACATTTTATAGGTTGTATTTTGAAAATAATTTCCCCTCCTTTATTCCAGGTGTAACCTCCCCCAATCACAGGAAATGCTAGTGAAGATGTTGGGAGAGAAAAAAACGAATCTTGTGACTGTCAATCCCAGCATCATAACCCTGAAGTGAGTGCCCACAAGCTGCATAACTCATCAGAACACTTTCTGATCGCTTTCATATGTTTATCTCGCTGCTGAGGGGCTGACATGCTCCACAGCTGAGCCAGCTTCTGGAGAAAACACAAAAGAACACTCTACAAAGTTTGACATCTCATCCAAGCTGTGTGCACAATATCTCAGGTGTCCTTGTAGTGTCATGAGCTGCATGTTTCCAATCAAAGAAGAAGTTATATCCTCAACTTAACAAATAGGGAATGTGATTTCTTCCATTTTCTTTCAAGTCTTCATACTATGTACACCTCCCCTTAGTAGTGAGTGCTTTTTTGACAAAGTTGTTTATGAGTTTGGGGGAAGCCCTAGCACAATGGGACAAAAGTACCATTGGCTTTCACTTTCAATAGTTTGTTAGTCAGAATAGTTTCTATAGCTTCTGTAACATAACTGTTATAGAATGTTCATTTGTTCATAAAAACCCCACATATACTTTGCTCCATTTTTTTGTTTTTTGGGGGGTTGTTTGTTTGTTTGTTTTGTTGTTGTTGTTGTTTGTCAAAAAGAGAGTGCTAGCTGGGCGGTGGTGGGCACATACCTTTAATCCCAGCACCCAGGAAACAGAGGCAGGCTGATCTCTGTAAGTTTGAAGCCATCCTGGTATATAGAGTGAGTTCCAGCATAGCTAGAGCTACACAGAGAAACTGTCTTGAGAAACCAAAACAAAAAACAACAACAAAAAGTAAAGACTGCTAATAATTAATAATAGAATAAATTCCCTCAAATTGCTCTAGGAATCTCTGAGTGAAAACAAAACAGGGTACTGCCTTCCCAAAAGTTAATTGTGAAAATTTTACTTGCAAGAGTTCTTCCTAAGGTGTCATGTGAAGCATAAGAGGGTGATAGCCTAATAGTCAGAAGGAAGTTATAACAAAACATAACATGTACATTTTCAAGCAGGCATAGGCCTTCTAAACAAAACTATTTGGTGATTAAGTATGTATAATAGATTATAACTTACAACTTTTAAATATATATATATATAGGGTATGATATTTGGTTTAAATAAATTTAAAGGCATTAAAAAGATAAAGCAACATTATATAATGTCACTGGTTTGTAATATAAAATAATAGAAGAAAAGTCTATCTATTAATAAGACTCTGGAGATCAGGAAAGAGAAATGGAGATCAGGTATTGGAAATTTACTTCATAGCTGGATCGATGTTGCTAAGTTAGTGATTTGAATTTTTTAATGCATTGGATATAAATGGTTGTATTTTTGACCATCATATAACCAAAATTATTGCTTTGATATTATTATTGTTGTTGTGATGATGATGATTGCTATTTTTAACTTGGCAGATACAAGAACTTGAACGAGAAGAAAGAGAAAGGTTTCTGAAGGATATTTCCAACTATGGAGACACATTCCTTCTCCCTGTCAGCTTTCTCCTACAGGGTCAACACGGGCATCTCTTTTTAAAGTCTACCAAACCCTCAAAGAGTCTAAAGTTAGGCAAAGGTCCTCTTCTTCCACCCTAGATACCTGAGACACCTTGCTCTTTCTGGAAAACTAAAGGGTAACAGCTTACCGCTTGTCCACAGGCTTGATGATAGCAAGTATCGCCATAGAACTGTGGAGAATCGTGAAACTCTATGGATTCTGGCCTTTCTCTAAGACTGTTGAAAAAATTCCTCTCAGTCACCACTACTATGACAACAAGTTACCCAAGCGTGGTTTCCACCAGATGCCCAAAGAATATAGCCAGATGCTCCAGCTCCATATGGGAGGGTTGTCAAACTGCACTTTGGCAAATGTGAAATGCCGTAAAGTTTCCCTAATATGAGAAGATTTTCAAGTAGGCTCGCATAGGTGAGTCATGGTGTCACCAAACACTAAAGAAGGAAGGAACAGAGAGTGGAGGGTTACAAAAGAGCTCCCCAACTTGGCTAGACCAGAGCTGCCCAGTAACTTTGCAGCCTCCCCTAGCCGCTTCATTCCAGTCATCAACTTTCTCTGAAAATGGGAGCTCATGGTATTAGACTCAGTCAAGTAAAATGAGAGAATTTTTAAAGCCTCTTGATATAGGATTTGATTTGGAGGCAGGGGACTCGCTTGAATGTTTCCTTGTTACTACTTGGTAATAGCCATTTCCACTTTAACCAGAGTGGCAATGAAACTGAGCCAAAGACCCCTTTCTGATGAGAATGGCTGAATCATGAGTACTCATTGATTACTTAGGCACAGTCCTTCCTTTATTAATAATATCTTACCATTATCTTCTCTCCCTAAAAGAGCACTTATAAGAAAATATAATTAAACAAGAAAGTGTTGATTATTCAGGAAGAAAATTCTTTTACTTGACAACGTGCCTGCTTTTGATTCAGTTTTTAACTTAGGATGTTAGCTGCATTGGGGTGTTGTTCCCATTTGGGCCATTCTCTTTGTCTCTCTTTGTCTACGTTTTCATTGCTTTTTATCATTTTATACTAACTTCCTGCTTCCGGTTTTTGTACCCTGGTCCCCACCACCACCACTTAAAAGGATCCACTCAATGACCTAAGTAGTTACAATACTCACAACTTCTCACCTGTTCTCTTGTCTATGGAGTTACTCATCCTATTTTTTAAAACACTGAACAGCTATTTGATGTCAAGCTCTTGGGACCAGGCACTGTGGGAGAGTATGAAGATATTGCCACTGGGAGGAAAATAGGTGCACATCATTAATTCATAAGATACCACAATCATCATCATGACAGTTATAAACACAGTGCTGGAAAGATCATAGATAGGAAGAGTTAAATCTAATCTAGTAGAATCAAGTTCAATGTAACTGTTTCAGAGAAGAGATGGTTCCAAAATTAAAACTAGGGAAATAGTTCTTAGCCAATGAAGACATTTCAAGGTAGAGGGCACATAATAGGAAAAGACCACTGTCTTGATTCTGGTTATCAAGCAAGTGTGCTAAAAGGTAGAACAGGAAGTTACCCTTAAAACTCTATATTGGGAGAGTATAGTGTGTGGGGGTGATGGCTTTTGCCCAAACTTGTGAAACGGTAATAGTTCAGACCCAGTCACTTCAAAGGAAAGATTTAGGGTGCAAACATCTAGCATATTTCTCTGGGAAGAGATGAATGTTTCCATGAACAATTACACTGGTAAGCACCAGTCTAGGAGTAAAATTTGAGTAAATGTTAAATATGATCATTTTATAGTCCTTGCTGATATCCCAGTGATACCCCTTAATGTAAGTCATAACACATTTATTGTTATTTGACTTAATAAATACTCATATGCATGCATTCATGCTCATCCATGGATGTTCCCAAGAAATCTAAAATAGGAATATTGAAGATGAAGTACACATGTCAAGATAACTATATATTTCATTTTTAATTCTTATCTGAGCCAGCTTATTGTATGTCAAATGCTTTTTATGAGAGAACACTGTGCTGTGAATTCTTCATTCTGATGTAGTATAACCTTGTATTTGACATCTGTGGTGTTACTTCAAGTTTATATTTCTTTTGTTCTTTTATAGCCAATTAAACTTATTAGCTTTATAAATTTATCAAAGTTTCTTACATAAATATTTTTCAAAGGGTAAAAGGCTTTTTTGTTATATAAAATCAAGTTTATTTATTATCTTTCTTCTTCTGGTGAATAGAGGCTCTTTTATGCTGCTGCTAAAGGATTTAATTAGTTTAAATTTCTCCTAGCAACATTGGTCATGTTTCAATCATGCTAATTACAAAGAAATATTTTTTAAAGTAGATCAGAAAACTATCATTTTTATAGTTAATAAAATTTTTCTTAAAATATTTTGTGGCTAGTAGAAACAAAGTCTTTTT